TTATATAATTCTAATTATATATAATTAAGAGTGAATTATATCAAATGCAAATGGTGTTTTATTTTTTATCATAGTCTAGTTCTTGAAAAAATTGACAGTACACATATGATAACACCAAGTAACTTAGCATCACCTATGTTATATAAGCATGCATTACCTCCGGTATCTGAAGAGCTCTATGGTTTGCAGTCACTACTTTAGACAATCTCTGAATGTGTTCATGAAGGACCCTGAAAACATCCCCCCCCAAAAAAACACATATAAATATGTATTTCAGGCATACAGAAAGTCATAATTTTTCAACACATTAAAAACTTTTATTTCTAAATATAGATTACAATTATAGTTGAAAAAGTAAATATTCTTTCATGTCAAAAAAGTCTCATATTTAGGATCTACTTAGAAATGCTGAGAGTCAAGGGAATTAGGGAGGTAGGGAAGTCCAACTTTCCAGGACCTGAACCCATTCCAAAGGAGAAACACAAGGCATCCTTACTCTAGGAGTTGCTTGGACATAGTATTTAATAAAGAAGCTGAGAGAAAAGAGGAATCAAAAGCCAGAAACTAAAGATCTCAGACAGAAAAGAGACTCTGAGAACTTTTTCATTTTATAAATGAAACTAATCAAGCTTAAAAATTTGCCTAAGGTCACAAAGGGGTCAACAGCAGGGGATAAACCCAGTTTTCTTGGTTTCCAGAACAGCTTGTTGACTCCCCACTAGATAAATCTGGGGTAGGTATGAATAATCTATTTCAAGGTTTTTCTTGCAGGAAGTATACAGACCAAGACTGTGCACTGGTGAGAGCAGGGCTTAGCTAGCCTGGTATATGGAAATATAAAAGCCTGTGGTAGTCTAGAAATCTCTGAGATATGAACGAGTAAGCGAGGCAGGTTGAAATGATCCTAATCCATTCAAAAGGAAAGTGAATAATCTCAAGTATACATGCAATATCTTAAAATGTCCTTTTAATACGTCTTATATAAACAATTGTGGGTTAATGCGCCAGACTACAAAGTTGTTTGAACTGCAAGGTCGGCGGTTCAAGCTCACCAGCTGCTCCTTGGAAATCCTATACAGGGTCACTATGGGTCAGAATTGACTCGACAGCACTTCATAACAACATCATATAAACAGTGGTGTAATGGCCCACCCTGAGATTCTGTTATATGGTCCCCTGGAATCACTATCACAGTACACTACTGTTATTTCTGGGAAACAACTTCAGCAAGGCTGTGAAACAGTGCTCAAAAAATACAGATGTAGAAACAAAAATGCTAAATGACCCATACATAATCTTACTACCAAAAATAACCAGTTACCATTCCAGGTATTTTTTAGGATTTAAGAAACTGCTTTAAGATATAATTCACATACTTATAATTCAAGATATTTCTTATATTAAAATATACAACTATCTATTGCTATAATTACATACACATATATATAAAAACATGTATGATAAATAAAAAATTGCTATTGGAATCCCAGTTAATATATGCATGGGTTGATTCTAAACAAAACATGTCTACACATGTCTCTGTGATCAGTAGAAGGTTGCAGACAAGTTTGCTCAGTAAAACATTTATCATAGTTCCCTTAGGGGCCAATAAAAATAGTGACTTCCTGACGTGGAGAGATGGAGCTGTTGGGGACACAGAGAGGGAGAGGGGCTGTGTGCTGATGACTAGGGTGCATGCCTGTAGTATATATACCCTTTGGATGGTTGATGATGCATGGAGGGGATTGTAAGAATAGCAATGAAATGATATACTATAGGATGAATGAAACTAATGTTCTCCCATGTAAACTGTCACATAATTCACAATAAAACATTTGAAAAAAAAAGAAAGAAAAAAAAAACAACAGTGGCTTCAAAGGGGATCTGATGAACCAGTTAAATTCAAGGCAGAGGGGTCAGCTCAGAAGGTTGTAGTGACTGTTTTGGGGGATCCCAAAAGGATAATCTTAATCGATTTTGTCAAAGGACACAGGATGATCACAGGGGTTTATTATCAAGAAGTTATAAGATTATAAAAAGCAACATTGGTGAGAAAAAGGTCAGAAAAGTTGTGCTGAGTAATTTTTTTCCACCATAATTATGTACATGCTTATTCTTCAAGTGTAGCAAGGGCTGCCCGATAGGAATTTCGTTGGAACCCTAACCCCATCCACCCAAAATCCTGAATCTTGCTTGACACTGTGATAGAACAGTGAATAAAATTATCATCCTGCTCTCATGGGGGGAACAACTGGGGTAGGCGGGGACAAAACAATCACACAAACCAGTGGTTCTCAAGAACAGGGAGTAAATTTGGCAATACATGGAGATAGTTTTAGTTGTCACATTTGGAAGGAGGAGTCCTGGTGTGATGCTGTGGGTTAATGTGCCAGACTGCAAAGCCATCTTGCAGTTCAAGCTCACCAGTTGCTCAACAGAAACCCTATACAGGGTCACTATGGGTCGGAGCCCACTCGATGGCACTTAACACCACCACCACCACCATTCCTATATCTAGTGTAGTGGTATTAAGTGCTATCTAGTCAGTTCCAACTCATAGCAACCCTTTATAGAGAGTTTCCAAGGAGCAGCCAGTGGATTTTAATCAGTGACCATGTGGCTTATGCTATAGTGACATACCAGGATGCTAAATAACCTACAATGCACAGGACAAATCCCTACAACAATGGGTTATCTAGCCCAAAATGTCAATAATACTGGGCTGAAACACCATTAACTAAAACCAATGTAAACTGTACTATGGAAAGCACTATGAAAGGTGCTCTAGCCTACAAGTTATAACATGAGGTCTACACTAATCAGAATGGGAAGAAAAAGCTTCCCCAATAAAGTGACACTTGAGTTAAGATATGAAGGATAATTAAGAGTTGATTACATGAAGAAGGAAAGGAAAAACACTTTAGGCTAAAGCCTAAAAGGTCATACCAATTTATGCTCCTGCAAGCCTAATTCTCCAGATCCCTGAAAACACTGGGCATATCATTCTTTCTGATCTTGCCATTCTGATGAGTGAAAAATGGTAACTGATGCAATTCCTTTCAGAATCAGATATTAAGTCTCATGCATGTTGATGTTGTTAACTGCCACTGAGTCGGTTCCCGACTCATAGCGACCTTGTGTAAGGTTTCTGAGTAGTGACTGTTAAGTTTGAACAGCTGATCTTGAGACTCAATGCTTATCCTACAAAGCCACACCAGGAATATGGAGCTACCTGATATATACACAGTTCGAGAAAGGCACTAAATATAAAAGCACTCACTGATCACGAAGTATGTCCCCATCCTGATTAGGATAGAAAGCAAGCTTGAAAATCCGATTCATCACGCTTCGTTCAATGGCCAGCTGAGCATCCTGAAGTTGCTCTTCACTGGCATTTTGCCATATGACATCCTGAGCCATTGCACCATAAAGAAATTGCAGAAAATCTTCGACCTGAGCAGTTTTATCATCAGCTGCTGTAAGTTTCTGAAAGTCTCCAATGCAAAGTAATAAAAATTTTAAGTAAGTTATAGAAATAATTTTAATCACTAGCTATGCAGATACTGTAAATCTTAAAGCCAAAGGTATGTCTGAGTTTGGTTTATTTTAGGAAAATATGCATCCAAATCATTAAAACCAAGACTAAATAAGAAAATACACTTGAATTTTAAGAGCAAGGCGTTTGTCATAAAAATAGTCTTAAAAAGTAAGAAAATTTTATATGTTAAAAAATTTATTAATCCAGTATAAAAATGCAATGTGTTAATTTGATATACAAAGTTTAATTATTACAAACACATAAAATAACTCTGAGTATTTAAGGAATTGTTCTAAGGCATGTAGGGATTCAAATAAAACAAAGTAAAATGAAAAAACTGCAAAATTTTTTCAATAATATAATAATGAAGAGGTATTTAGTTACCTTGAATGAATTCTCTGATCTTCTTTTCTTTGCTCTCAAGCAGTAACCTCACACAGACAGTAGTGAAGTAGCGATTGGCCACCTCCTTGTCCCGCAAAACCCTTTGCAGCAATCTTTCCAAGTGAGCCTGTGTGGTCTGAAGTCCTTGACGACAACGAGTTAGGTAAGCGATATATGGAGCCCTTTTCCTAAAAGAAATAAATGCTTTCTAGGATGGACATCAGGTGTATAGTATACACTTTCTTTGAAAAATTATTTTATAAACTTTGGTTTTACAAGTTGCCATGTCAGGCTGCTAGCTCAAGAAATACAATCATTTTGCAACACTGTAAAAAATATTACCTACGTAGCGTAGTGGTTACGAATCGGGCTGCGAACCTTAAGGTCAGCAGTTCGAAACTACCAGCCGCTCCGCGGGAGAAAGATGAGGCTTTCTACTCCCGTAAGGATTTACACCCTCGGAAACCCTGTACAGGGTCGCTATGGGTCGGAACTGACTCAACGGCACTTAACAACAACAACAGGGCTGAATACTTAGCTGTCTAACTTAGTTATTAAGTCCCTTTGTATAGTGGTCTATTGTGTCCTGGAGCATGAGCTCCACCTTGATAGGACATCATACTTACTAGGAAATTGGTTGCTACAAGACTAAACTAACAGCAAAATACAGATTAATATACAATATTGTCATTAAACATTCTCCAGATTATTTGCTTATAGTCTAAATATACAATCATCAGAGCACCTGCTCCCTAAGCCTCAATGCCTCTTTACTTCCTAAACATCCCAGTTACTCTTTCTCCATAACCATTGCCAAAAGATTGGCAGCAAAGTGCAACCAATTCTAAGCCTACGCCTGATCCTCTGACCCAGGAAAGTGGTTTTTCCTATAACCCCTGACAAACAAAAATGATATCCTAGCTATCTCCTGGCCTCACAAATAAAATAGCCAATGCCTCTGCAAAAGCTACTTGAGTGCTAAACTAAAGTAAACTGTAATAATCTATTACTAAGAGCAGTTCCATGACTATATTTCGAGGCTAAGTAATCTAACGTGTTCCTTGAACATCTACATCCAGGTAACATAGTCAAGCACTCTGCAGTAAGCCTACATTGCTTTCCAAATAATCACTAAAGAGAAACAACAGTTGAAATTTAGGTCTAAGAGCTGAACAGGTCAGATTTTTACCTGTAGTCCTCAGCAATCGATGCAAGCAATTTCCTACAAGTCCTATTATCAAAGCGACACACACAACGCATTGTTTCTTGAAGTTGAGCCATTAAATTCTTATCTTGTAAATTAATTGCTTCAGCTATTTGAACTTTCAAGAAGCATACAATTTCATTGTCTAAACAAACAAAAGAAAGACGAAATCTGTTATTGTTGACAGTTTCCATGGGCTTACCAGTTAATTACAGAACTAATTAATCAACAATAATAAAAGTACTCTTCATTGTTGTTATATGCCGTGGAGTAGGTTCCAACTCAGAGCGACCTTGTACAGGGTTTCCGAGGCCGTAAATCTTTGTGGGAGCACAAAGCCTCATCTTTCTCCCACAGAACAGCTGGTGGTTTTGAACTGCTGACGCTGAGGTTAGCAGGCTAATTCGTAACCACTACGTTACCAGAGCTCCTAAAAGTACTCTTAAGTAATATTAATATAAATGTATTACAATGAACCATATAGAATTGCTACATAGATGAAGCATAGTTGAATACTGACAATTCCACATGTTTTACTCAAGTTTGGAATGTAATGGCTCCTTATCATAAGCACTGGAATGTGAACCACAAGGTCTGTGGTTCGAGCCCACCAGCTTCTCCATGGGAGAAATATGAAGCTTTCTGCTCCAACAAAGATTTAGGCCTCAGAAACCTTAAACAGGGTTGCTATGAGTTGGACCTGACTCAAAGGCATTTAACAAAAAAATTCAAGTTCTAAATATTATATAGTTAAACTTATATATATAGGAATAAATAAACAATCATATCGCAACCTACCTTCTGGGTCTGTGTGGTCTGGTAAACCATTCCTTGAATGGGTTAGTACTGGGAAGGCAACAGAATCCGCAGAGCAAAGAGCAAGCCTCAGTTTCTTTTTTGCATCTCTGAAGAATCAGATTTAGAAAATATGTTAATAAAGTCTACTAATTCCATCTGGTGAGGTCCTTGTGTATAATTGATATTTGTTTTCTTTATATTGAGATGATATCCATACTGAAGGCTGTGGTGTTTAATCTTCATCAGTAAATTATTTTGTCCTCTTTACTTTCAGCAAGCAAGACTGTATCAGCTGCATACTGTATCTCAATGTAGAGAAAACAAAACTGCATCTCAATGTAAACAAAACAAAAATCGCTTATACACATGGACCTCATCCAGATGGAATATAGAGAAATCAAATTCACTACATCTGTAGAAAGAGATGATGAAAAAGTTCTATATCATCAGTCAAAACAAGGCCAGGGGCAGATTGTGGAACATACCATCAACTATTCATATGCAAATTCAAACTGAAGCTGAAGGAAATGAAAACAAGTCCACAAGAGCCAAAATATGACCTTGAATATATCCCACCTGAATTTAGAGATCATCTGAAGAACAGATTTGATACATTAAACACTAAAGACCAAAGACCACAAGAGTTGTGGGATGACATCAAGAACATCATACAGAAGAGAAAGCAAAAAGTCATTAAGACAATAAAGAAGGAAAAGATCAAAAGGGATGTCAGAAGAGACGATGAAACTTGCTCTCCAGCGTAGAGATGCTAAAGCAAATGGAAGAAATGAGGAGGTACAAGAACGGAACAGAAATTTTCAAAGGTCAGCTTGAGCATATACAGGCAAATATTACAACAAAATGTGCAAAGATCTGGAATCAGAAAACCAAAAGAGAAGAACATGCTCAGCATTTCTCAAGCTGAGGGAACTGACAAAAAAATTCCAGCCTTGACTTTAATTTTGAAGGATTCTCTGGGCAAATTATTGAATGATGTAGAAGGCATCAAAAGAAGATGGAAGGAATACACAGAATCACTGTATCAAAAGGAAATGGTTGATAATCAACCGTTTCAAGAGGTAGCATATGATCAAGAGCCAATGATACTGAAGGAAGAAGTCCAAGGTGTATTGAAGGAATTGGCAAAGAATAAGGTACCAAGAATTAATGGATTAAAAACTGAAATCTTTCAAGAAATTGAGGTGGCACTGGAGGCACTAACTCATCTATGCAAAAAAAAAAATTTAGAAGACAACCATATGGTCAACTGATTGGAAGAGATCCATATTTGTGTCCATTCCAAAGAGAGGTGACCCAACAAAATGCAGAAATCATCAGACAATATCTTTGATATTTATATGAGTAAAGTTTTACTAAAGGTAATACAGAAACGGCTGCAAGCATACACTGACAGAGAACTTCCAGAGGTTCAACCTGGATTCCAAAGAGGATGTGGAACAAGGGATATCACTGCTGTCCAATGGATCTTGGCTGAAAACTGAGAATACCAGAAAGATATTTACATGTGCTTTATTGACTACTCAAATGCTTTCGATTGTGTGGATAATAATGACGTACTGCATTAGGCAAATATGCTGCACAAGACCTTTTTAAAGTGTTGAAGAGCAAAGATGTCAGCTTGAGGACTAAGGTGCGCCTGACCCAAACCATGGTATTTTCAATACCTCATATATGCATGCGAAAGCTGGAGAGTAAATAAGGAAGACTGTAGAAGAATTGATGCTTTTGAGTTCTGGTGTTGAAGGAGAATACTGAAAGTGCCATGGGCTCCCAAAAGAATCAACAGATCTGTGTTGGAAGAAGTGTAGCCAGAGTGCTCCTTGGAAGCCAGGATGGCCAAACTTCGTTTCTCATACTTCGGACATATTGTCAGGAGGGACCAGTCGCCGAAGAAGGATATTATGTTTGGTGAAGGACATCATGTTTGGTCAGAGAAAAAGAGGAAGACCCCCAGTGAGATGGACTGGCAAAGTGGCAGCATCAATGGGCTCAAGCGTGGCAACAATTGTGAGGTTGGCCCAGGACCTGGCAGTGTTTCGTTCTGTTGCACATAGGATCGCTATGAGTTGGTACTGACTTGATGGCACTTAACAACAACACTGTTAATATAATGTATTAATATCCCTATTCAGACATGCATGGTCACATTTTAGAAATATTTACTTATAAATTTACAAGTTACCTTTGGATTCAAATATCTCAAATGGTCAGAAATAAAGATCATTTTAAACATACTGACATCTCACTTAAAAGAACAGTTACTAATTACTTATGAAACAAGGCTGTAAAACGGCCCTGGGCAAGGACCATTCTGTAAAGACCCAGTATTTGCCAAACAGCAAATCTATTCTAACTTCTATCATATGCTGAGTGCTAAGATAGGCATACGACAACAGTCAGAAACCACACTACATCACAGTGGGAAGGGACCACTGAAGTCAACAGCGCTACCCATCACTCAAGTAAGAATTGAAGCCCTCTACCACATCTTTTGAGAAATGCTGATCCTGTCACAAGACAAGCTGGGCACCACACAAGAAACTTCTTCTACTGTTCTTGAAAGTAGTAGTGCTGAACCAAACCTTTTTTTTTCCTTTTAACTTACAACTACTGATTGAATGAAGGAGCTCTGGTAGTGTAGTGGTTATGAATTGGGCAGTTCGAAACTACCAGCAGTTCCGCGGGAGAAAGATGAGGCTTTCTGCTCCTGTAAAGATTTACAGCCTTGGAAACCATGTCCAGGGTCGCTATGAGTCAGAACCGATTCCATGGCATATAACAACAACAACTGATTGAATACTCCTTGGTGGTATAGCAAACCTTCAGCAATTTATCATCCTTCACAATAATGCAGCTTTTTATATTGAGAGAAATATAACTGAGTTTCTTTTATCTGCTATTACCTGTAGCCTTTTTGGTTCTGTAGGATGTGGACCAGAACTTCTTTATAATGTTCAGTCCCACCATCCAAAGAAAAGAGTCTAAGCACCTTAGAGAACAGGGCCAAGTTTGCTCTTTCTCTGCAAGAAGGTACACTTGTCCACCTTATCTGACTAGTTCATAATCTTTCCCTATTGATTTTCTTCCTATGAGTAATTTAAAAATCAAGTGGCTCAAATACTATATTTGCCCACCTTGCAAATGCTCTTGTAAAGTGACCTGGTGATCTTAGCAAAATAAAATCAGTTATAGCTGTAAAATAAAAATGGTTTTACTCTCCTATTTTTAGTCCAGGGGAAAAAAAAACTTATACTTCTTCTAAATGAAATAGCAAGTTGCTTCAAATCTGCTTTAATAAAGGGAAGATGGTGAGAATGAAACAATAGATATATGAGTCCATCATTGTGCTGTTATTTTTGTATATGCTTGAAAATTTCTATAATAAAAAAGAAAATGAGAACAGAGAGAGAAAACTTAGTACGTCCACAGGAAATGACTGGTGTCTTAAAATTGATGCTCCTTGGCAGAGGGAGCACATTCCCTATGAAACAAAGGCTCCTAAAGTCATGTTCTTTCTTAAGACCCACTAGAGATAAAACTGAGAAGGCTCCAAAACGTTTACTAGTGAAAGTAGGTTATTCAACAATGTGGTAGTTGATCCTGCCTCCTAATCACTGCAGTCCTCCCTTACTTTTTGCACAAGGGCTGGTAACTTTGGATGGGCAAGGCATTACCACCTGTTTTCTTTAAATTACTTATGTAGCCCCTGTGGGCATATGAGTTTTTTAACCCTGAATTAAAGCCTTTTATATATGACACCCATATCCTTTTTATCTCTCTGCTTTATATACACTTTATAAGTGAATCAATCACTTATCTTGAAGTGACTACAATGGTAGTGAAATTCTTAAACCCTATAAGAGAAATACCTGTAAGAGAAAGCTGAATCCTGAGGGTGGGCCGCTTGGCTTGCAGAATCTGGGAGGTCATCAGCTGACATGTTTTGCAATGCTTCATCACGAGGTGAATCATGTGCACTTTCACCATCACCCATAACCTCTAAACAAACACACCCCATCAAAAAGGAGAATTAGGTTAACGTTGGAATATTTAAGCACTAGTAAGAATTCAAAACAACTCAACAGTTATTGTTTTGCGCAATAACTTCTTAAAAACAAAATAAACAAAATCCTTCAAGCATTTTAACTTATAAACAGCAACAACAATATATCAGGAGTGGTGTTGTAAGAAAACTGTTTTACTTTTTTACCAACCCTAATGCAACATAACTGAAGTCTGTATTAACATAATACAGTTCATAATTCTATAATCAGAGTAACTGAACTCAGAATTAAAAGAGACTTCAAATATTCGTTTATATAACACGCTCATTTTATAAACACAGACTCCTTCCTCATCAGAAAACAGCTTGATTCCCCAGTGGCTGAAGTGGGACAGGTGTACAGGTCTCCTGATTCTCCAGACAAGAGATTCTCTCATGATACCAAAAATAAACCATGGGACTAACTCACAAATGCATCAAGGGCAATCTGTGGCTCTAAAGTTGTTTTATGTTTTAATTATTAAATTAAGGATAATACATATATAATAAAATGAAAAGTATTAATAAATCAATAAAGGTATTATGGTTATGTAAGAAAGATCTTTTTTGTTGTTAAAACTTTTTTTTAAATCTTTTTTTTGTTGTTAATCTTTATTTTTTTTGTTGTTAAACTTTTTATTAGGAACTGAGTGAAGGTTTACAGAACAGATCATCAGTTTTACATTCAACAAGTCATATACTGTGCTTCATAATGATGGCAATCCCTTCTAAGTATCATCAGTTAACAGTATTGACCTCTAATCACTTTAACTACTATATTCTTCCCTGTGTCTGCTGCTATCTTCATCTTTCCTCTTCTAACTAACCTCCCTTCCTGTTGTATACTGCCTGTCTTGTCACCCATTTTAACATGTGTCTACCCGCTAGCCCACTGTGAGGTTGGCCCAGGACCGGGTAGTGTTTCGTTCTGTTGTGCATAGGGTCGCTATGAATCGGTACCGACTCGATGGCACCTAACAACAACAACAAAAAATTTCACTTGGGAGTCCTGTTGTGGTGCTGTGGACTAATGCGTCAGACTGCAAAGTCATTAGAACTGCAAAGTCGGTGGTTCAAGCTCACCAGCTGCTCCTTGGAAACCCTATACAGGGTTGTTATGGGTCAGAATTGACTAGACAGCACTTAACAGCAACAACACCCTCTAACACGTGAATAATTCCCCTCCTCACCACTACCCATGATAGAATATTTCTTTTTAATATCTTAATCTTTCACAGAGATCATCTGAAGAACAGATTTGATGCATTAAACACTAAAGACCAAAGACCAGAAGAGTTGTGGGATGACATCAAGAACATCATACATGAAGAGA